AAAATTTTAATTTATTTATTTTTATAATTCTTATCGATTATTAAAAAGATAAAAAAAATCAATGATAAAATAATTAAAATAAATTTAATGAAGATTAAACCATTACGAAATTAAAAAATTTAGTATTTAATAAGATCCGTTTTCTCCTTTTATCTAATTTTTATACAAATATGAAAAATAACTAAATTATTTGGAAAAAAATAAATCTGTACTTGTTATAATCGTTTTTACGAATTAAATTTAGAAAATAAATTATAATTTATTTTTTTTAAATATTTAAAAAATCAGTTCAAAGTAACACATTAAACTGAAATGAAGATAGGATAAAAGCTCAATTACCATCGAAAATTTTTGACTACATTACCAAAAACATTTAAAAATAAATAAATTATTAACTAAGAAAGATTATCTTTCCATTATAATATAATATACTTTAGGGAAATCTGATATAGAATAAAATTGCATGATCCTATTTTGCTAAAATACAGTACTTCGATAATATTATCGAAACGAAAATAATTAAACTTTAAACTAAAATGTCGATTCTTCATTTGTTGTCTTATCTGTTAATGTACTAGATTCTATTTACTTACAGCCGAGTGTCGTTGGAGTGATGGGAAGAATTAAGGGAAAGAGAAGCTATGAAGGAATTTTATCTGGCTTACGCCGATCCTTCAACTAAGGTCTCCATTTCAAGATAATAAAAACTCTTCTTGCTTGCTCCAAACACAAAATAATTTTTGATATTTTTAAGGCATTTAATGGTAGACTTGAGACGATTAAGTCGGAGGTTTTTAAAGCAATACCTACGAGATTGTCTTACCAGATTTAAAATACAAATACGATCAAAAATGTAAATTATTCTTCATTGAGAATAACATATCAAATAAGAAATCACCATACAAATAAATCAATATACTTAAAAGTTGATGGCTTACATAACGTATTCATTAATTTTCTTAATGGTCCGCTTTTAATTAATCTTACATTTAAATAATTATAAACAATTGTTGAATTTACGATATAAAACATTTTTATTAATTTAGAAATTAATAAAAATGATTAAAATTTTTCATAAATATCAATAACTAATTTTATGAAAATATTTTACAATCAGAATTATTTATTGTAAATTATTAAGTTTTAATTACTAAATTTTTATATTAAGAGCTCTCTTTAATATATTATACAATAACAATAACAATACTAATAATGTAACGCTATTTTTATACTTTTCATCTATCATCTAACCCCCTTTATAACACTCGTAATGCTAACGCACGTATCCACACCCCCAAAAATTTCGTAACCCCCTTAAGTTATAGGCAAATCTGAGAAAGTTGATAAAAAATTACCGATAACTCAATCCCTACATATTTTACAAACAACACCGTTCGATTTAAAGACCTTAAACATTACGTAACGTTTGTACGTTTTTGTATACATGTCTACCCCCTTGTACGGTACGTTGTACTGTACGTAACATTACATGCGTACATATATGACTTTACATGCGTACATATCTGACTTTACATGCGTACTCATCCACTCACATCTAAGTTACATAATTTATGGGTATCCTCTTTTCAAATTTTAATTATTATTATTTTAATCTGTAATTGCTGTTGAAGAATAGAGTAAATTCTGGGTTAAAAAGTAGATATTGAGAAGATAAATGCTGAGAAAAAGATGAAGGAAAATGTTTACTAAAATTTACAAATTTATGGAATTAAATTTCCGGTTTTTCCGGTTAAAATCTGATTTCATTTCAACTTAGCAAAATTCCAATAATATTAGAAATATCTCGGAATTTTAAGCAATTCATTCTTCATTTTGCTGGTAATTTAAATATATAATATATATATATTTAAATTAGTATTCGGGTCTATGGCCCAAAGTGCAATAAATCTGTTTTTGAATTAAATTTAATAGTTATGAAAACTAAATTAATTTATGTAGCATATAAAAATGGTAATTTTAATTAAAATTAATTATTTTTTAAATCATACATTATTATGTTAAATAATAATTACTGTTTAAAATTTATTTATTTACATTTTTCATTCTATACAACTTTTTCTATTTATGAATTAAAATTATTTAATTAATATAGAAAAATAAATTATAAAAAAGAAATAAATTACTAATAATTATATTAATTAATAATTAATTTTTTTTTCTATTTCCAAAAGAGATAAAGAAGAAAAAGATATAATTTTAAGCAAAAAATTTATGTGTCG